GTCAGATCAGTATCCCTGACAACAGATACTCAAGGGCAAGTTACACTATAGAGGTATCACTCGGGTGATTACCACTGACACGTCTTAGAAACATTCCATAAATAAATACTAGAAGCTTATCCCCCATATTTGGTGTATATTCCGTTAAATAAACACAACACTGTGGATAGATAACCTTTGAGATAGCTAGCCAACTCTACTCCAATCTGCTATAATCTCCGTTGAATTATATCAGGCCGGCTTAGTCTCCACAAGAGTTTCAATATTGTCGTACTCAGACATAATCTGTGTACACTGCCACAGAGATACAGATAGGGTGGACATGGAGGCTGTCCTCCATTATCTCCTCGTGTTAACATATTCTCCCTCCCTATCGGTTATTTCAGACCTGTGTATTTAGACTTGTTTCCCTATTTTCCGTAATATTGTGTAAGTGGTGGCTTCCTTTGATGGATAAACTAGTTATGTGATTAGAACTTGTTATCACAAATTACCAACCGCTCCAAGTTATAAACATGAAAGATTTCTTTTTTTTTAATCTTTGTCTCCGAGATTATAACTTCTAGCTAGCTGGTATATTTTGCACAACAATCTTACCCAGGTGTCATGTTGCATTGATGATTGAATTTTCATTTATTTTTTAGGATAAAAAATTAGGACCTTAACATTTTCTCAGCTGTAAATATTAAAAGATCAAATTGTTAGATGATAACCTCAATCACCTCGCGTAAAGTTCCTGGAGATTCATTTACAACTTAATCTAATACAACCTCTTGTGATTGTAGCACAAAATGCTCTTACAACAAAATTGGGACTTTTATCCTTTTTTGACATTTTCACCATCTATTTAGACAATTTTATCAGAAAGGAAATCTAGTTTAATCTTATCTGGAGCTAGGACCTGACACTTTTTACACTATGTTTTTTCCTTGGATGCATTTGACTATAATCTGTAAACGTATGATACCTGGCTATGCTCAAAGTTGTATCGCTAACCATAATGCTAGACTCAACCTGAAAAGTTTGTATTGTCCTCGGAAGGTATTTAGCGTAAGATTGCAAGGAATAAACCCTAGGTCTTTTAAAGTGCACAAAAACTCACCCACATCTGACTTTATCTTTAAACAAATTCCTTTTTTTTTCATTCTCAACTATGTCTGTTTCATTTGAGTTTCATTTACGGAATCACAAAAACCAGCAGTGGCACACAAATGAATGTCACAACTAATGGAAGATAATGGAAACAACACTGTAAATAAACTACATAATGCCTGATTATACTGCTCCTGTATGTTCTAAAGAGTAGTTCACTCACTAATCAATTTTAACATTCTATGTTAATGATCTTAAAGTATCATAATTTTATCATAATATGACGTACATGTAGTAATAGCTAGCATGCTGAAGAGCTTTTAAAAGCCATGGACACAGATCTAATGTAAGACCAACAAAACTATACAGTATAGGTAGTAATCAATCTACGAATGCTTCCATGTAAAAAAGTCTTCTTTGAAATCCACTATAGAGAATTCATTGCCAGGCTCCCTTTCCAGCCATGTATAGATAGTGTTTTAAAGCAACACAAAATGTCACCTCGGTCACAGGCCATAAAACTTTTATGGGACTAGGAGCTATTCGAAGACATTCTGTACATAACGTGTTTGATGGAAGTGAAAATATATAACAGTACAGTGTTTACTTAAACATGGTCTTTCTTTGGGGCTTTCACCTTTTTCATGTCAACTCATCGACCTAATGCACTGTTTTGCCATCCTTACAAACACTCGGGACACCCTGATCAGACCTATCACTGTTTTACTCTTGTAGTTTTCACGGGAGGTACGTCTGGAAGTTATAAATCCCGCTAACATTTGATCAGCATCTGTTCTGATGATAGAAAATGAAAGGAGCTCCTTCGTAAAGTGAATGTATATATACTGTGGAAAGTCTCTTTAAAAAATTTCTTCAGTTTCTCTTCCGCACGTGTCCCTACAGATGATAAAGCACAGATGCATGCTTTTGCATTTTGAGAGTAAGGAGGGGTAAAAAAATCTCATGCATACAAATCTCAGACTACAGTAGAATGTCTGGTTTCATTAGAAATGCCACAGGCCTGAGAATCTGCATCATAATAGCAGAACATTTTGCATTACACTGAATGGTACAACGTGTGAATACACTAAAAATCCCCACTTATCCAACGTGCCCAGTGTCAACTGGGTCACTTCTGCTCATTCTTGTATCCATGACGATGGACTCTTGAGAGTATTAATTAGCCCTCCTGTATTAGGTGCAACCGTCTGTTTTGTACAAGAAAACGCTTCTGTTTACCTCATGGAAATGTGTATTTGCTGCACAATCCCGACAAGTCACTGAGAGCCCTCTACTGCTTACAGAACAGATGGCTAAAACTGCTAAGCACTCAAATGACCTTGATTCCATAAAGCTGCAAGACATTTCAAATGTAAGTCAACCTTGAGTGAAACCAATACTGAAGTACCTGAGTAACAATGAACTAAGCACCTCGGGGACAGTGAATAATGTTCCAGAGTGATGTCAGATAACTGAAGCTCTTGACTGACAACAAAATAAGCTTTCTGAGTTATTGTACGATGAATAAAGGCATGAAACACCTTACTATCAACGTTTCTCCCGAGCAACATTAAATCAAACATGTTAACCACCTTTTGAAATGTTGAACAAACTTTCAATTTGTTTGTGAACATAGAATGTGCTATTTTGTTCCCAAGAACAACATTTATCAGATGGAGAAAAGAGCTAGGGTCTATATTTTCAATGGAGAATGGGTGTGTTTAATGGACCAAATTAGAGGAGATCATTCCCTGAATGCTGGAACCTTCCCTCTAAACCAGACCATCAAAAGAAACTTGTACAGTCATATTTTCATTTATTAAATATGACTTATTCTTATCAATGTTAAATGTTGTGGTTATGCATATAAAGTTAAATTTACATAAAGTCAGAGCTCACCAGAAATGCTTTTGACGTGAAGCGGCAGAGTAAGTTTCTCCTTCCTGACTGTAAGGATGCCAGTCTTTTGCAAAACTACTTCCCCGTATGGGAGTATCCATTTATACATCAGGATAGACTAGAATATTCAGGTAAAGTGCTTTAAACAAACACGTGATTACAGAACAGATAACTGCTGTAAGATTGGTTGGAGTTTGAACCTACAGTCTCTAGCTCAGCAGCTTAGACCAATAAAGCATGTGCAACTGGATAAGTAGGTAACTGCACTTATTTACCTGTACTGTAATTACCTTCAATAAGTAAGGATGCTGCAAGGATTTCTGGGGGTTAACCGTTACATAAACAAAGAAAGGCAAATCTGTTATCCCTGACACTCACTGCAAGGTGCACTACTGTTTTCATTAAACAAATATTGCATGTTTTCCACTATCCTTTTCCACAGAGAAATAGAATCACTTCAGTCTGCCTATTCATCACCACGGTGACAGACATCAATCCTGAATCCTCTAACCTCACAACCCTATATGTCCGCCTGTCGATGAGTGTGCATCAAGACAAGGCGTGCCTATTGTGATATTCAAGGGGTGACAAGGTAGCTGTGTTGGCAGGTGATCAGAACCATTGACAGCGGGCTATAACAGGGAGGATGTGTTGATCCAGAGACTTCCTTAACCTGTAAACATGGTAAACTCACTACACAGCTGGCTGTTCACCTGTTAATTAGGAAACTAACCAACCTGTAAATGTCCTCCACCAAGGATAGCTCTAATCCTAGACACAATTACACAAACATTATTAACAGCTTCAAACAAAAATTGTTATCTAGCGACAAAAAAGTATTCTTTAAATGTTCCAATTACAACTAAAACTGCTTTCCATAGGTATGCAAAATGTATTGTCTATTAGCTTGTTATTAAAAAAAAAAAAAATCATCTCAGTAATAATTAAAATTACTTAAGTATTTTCTAACTTATTAGGGATACTAATTACGAACATTTTGGTCCGAGTACAACTCCCAGCATACCTTGTGTCCGTTGTTACGTAAACCAAAACATGATACAGATAATATATACAACTGTTCCCATATGTATAATTGGCCACCAACGAATCCTCACATATTGCCCAGATAGAACTGTCTAAATATGTATAATCGTGCAGATAGGGAGCTCTTTTATCACTGAAGGTAGAAAAAGTTGGCCAAGATGTCCCGACAGATGGAGCAATACCCATGATTAGTTTAAAAGCAGCAATTAAATTTTTTGTAAAAAAAAAAAAATTGCACTCAAGATAGAGATGAAATCTTGGAAAATTCTTTCAGAAGGACGCAAGCTAATTTTCTGAAATTTGAACAGAATCTGTTAATATTATTCCAAGATTTTTAGATAACGTCTATTCCTTGTTTGTCGGGACAAAGTGTTTCTTCAAGATGGCCTGTTGGCTATTTCAGTATTGATTTTTTTGTCTATAGTGCTGTTGAAACATTTGTTTCCAAACAAAAAACAATCGACAAACTGATGATAGAAATGCAGACACTTGTAAGACCAGTCTTGAATTATATCTATAGCTCTCTGGGAAAAATTGTGAATAAACTGAAAGAGATCCCAGAAGGAAACAGATGACCTTAACATTTGTGTTTGTATTCTCACCATGACAACGAAGCATAGGTTTATAAACTTAAGCTAAAATCCGAGATAGAGAGTAAAACCTTCTGCCATAATGAATTTCATGATCATTATGATACGTTACAAAGATCACCAGTTATGTGACATGAAATCATAGTATTCTAGATAAGTGTTTTAGTGACAAATTTGGCTTTGTAAATGAAAATTTTGTTAGTGACAATTTCTTATGTAAGTATTGTCACCTCTTGTCCTACTTGTATCAAAGACATATGCTGAGCTGTCAATATCAGATCATGGCAGCAGGTCACCTCTCCGTGCAAGACCTATATCAGAATACGAAAATTACATTCTTACAGATATTACAAGCTTAAAACAGCAAGGACTTACATTGAATGTTGAGCATTGCGTCTGTACTCTGCAAAGCAAAATTGGTTGATCTGTTTGTAGCGACACAGTTAAATGGTCCTTCATCCTCATTCCGCGTTACACGAAGTATCCTTAAGTTGCTACCCTCCTGAAATCTCCGGCTGGTGTCCTGTATCTGCTTTTCTCCTAACAGCCAGCTGAATTCTATGAACTGTCTCTTGGAAACATCACAATAGAGGATGACTTCACTATTTTCGGCAACAGACTGACTCTCTGGCTTCCGGCTAAAGTAGTAAGAGTCGTGACTCGCACACAGACACACTGAAATGTAAAAGTGACATTGTTAGGACTTTATATACAATACAAGTAAGAGGGATAGAACTAAAGCAATGCCATAAATTGCTGTTCTTCGACGTCACTGAATAGATGATTCGTGAACAGACAGACATTCAACTGTACAAGTTGTTTGGACCATGAACAACACAATATCAACATGGAACTAATATTGAACTGCTATGTGACATATAGAACTCTGAAAAAATAACGATCTTCAGGTTACATTGTATCTGATTTACAATATATATGTTGCATGTTACACATATGATTTTATATAAATGTAAACTCATTAACTGTGTGTCCTTGTTGCTCTGATCAACAGGCTGTTGAACACTCTTTTACTCGAGGCAACCTCAGAATAATTAGCATCTATTACAATTCACTTACTACACAATGTCTATCAATAACTAATATGAATGACACCTACTCTTTTCACTTCCTAACTTATTGTTAGAAAAATTTCTCCATCATTTAACAATACCCAAAAGTGTTTTTGGAATAAGAAGGTGGGGGTTCTATCTATAGAGCAAGGCCTGACATTAACATGTACGTGAAACATCAAATATAGAGTAGACAACTTCCTCATTTGTGTCCTAATCTTCAGTTATACCGTTACATTTTTTAGTCGGTTTATTGAAATGGTAAAACATTTACCCAAAAAACTGTTTACAAGAATCTAGTAACAATATATACCTTCAAAGTGGTGTAATATAACATCGCATCAATATCAAAAATCAATTTTAAACGCACTGCAATATCACATTGACCTTCCTACAAGTAGCAATTTAGGTTACCTTGAAAACTGTCAAAAAAGTATCAATGAAAATATTGATTTAATTCTGTGTGAAAAGGTTGACAGAATATCAATCAAAGTGCCTTTACATAACACCATATATATGGGTGAGGAGTGTCAAAAAGATTACAATCTATTTTGTATCTGGTCTCAACAGCCCCCAGTTTGTATCAATGTGGAACAGAAGGGCCTTGGTATCCATGCTGATCTTGATCTGTGGAGACAGGAGGATCAAAACGAGTCAACATTTCGTCATTTTTTTTATCAAATGAGCTTGACCTATATTTAAAAAACACCAGAGGCACCAAGAATGAGTTAAAGATCCTCTTTATCATATGCTCAGTTCAGTTTTTTTAAACAGGATTTGTACAAGGTATCCATCGCTCACATGACTCAGAATATGACTAGTATGGATTCCCTAAAGGCTAATGGGGGGTCATCTCAATGGCAAACTGCCCTAAGCTCATAAAATGTATGAATGCTTCCAGGATATAGGTGAAGGGGTCATCTCCAAAGACAAATGATCCAAGAGAAATGGTGATTGGGTTTGTGGTTCAAGAATGATTCTTTGTCTCCTTGACCGAGTCCTCAAAATTTAATCAGGACATGGACAAACTTGACCTTGTTTATAATTAATCTGTAGCAGAACAATTTAACCAATGTCAAAATGATCATACAGATTACCGTTACAGAAATTTGGAAAAGAAATGAAGAATTTGGTGATTTCATGCTAAAATATCAGTGCAAAGAGAAATTGACATGGCAACATGGACAGAAGTCAAAAATTTGAAGGAGCTGCCACAATGTTTGTGGAGGGGATCAGAATTCAGATATGTTTCTAAATAACCATAGAAATCTGATCCATCTAATCAAAATAATGGAATGTTATGGTTTCTGGTAATCACACTTTAGGATAAACAGCAATAACGAACCAAACATATGATGGATCAGTTCGCCAATAGAGAGGCACAGCAAAACATGAAACATTAATCTTTTAATTCATTCTTTCCTGTTTAATTTCAAGTCTGCAGTTGTTAGCGATGGCTGCTTCGACCCTCAGACAATGGAACAGATGTAGATGACATGGAGGTGCAGTGCAGCATGCATTGCATGTTAACATTATCCCCAGCAAAATTAGTGAATTTGCTATGATAGCACCGTGTCTTGGTTCAACAAAAGAATGTGTGTAAAGATACATGTTATACCATACACTGCGATATGAAAACTATTAAAATATATCTATCCATCAGCCGTGTATGTAATTAAATCGGTTGTACACCATCTGGTTGGCTTGTTGTGAGTTTAGCAGGGCTATAAAGCCCCCATTCCGTGCAAACATTTACTTCGCAGTAGTATGGTACTATTTAAAACATTTTATGACAATGTGCAAGATAAATGCATTATCTGTAGTGCTCCGAGACGCTTGCTAATATCACTTATTAGACTCCATTTCATTGTGTTATCACTACAAGATGATGTACGGTAGATACCATGATGACTGTGAAGTCTTCCATAACATTGTTTTAACATTACTTTCATTTTTCACCATGCCAATAGAATTATAGACATATATATATAAATGTTTATACTGCATTAAATTGCAAACTACCTGAGTATATGAAAACAAATATCATTTGGGTTTTTTATTGATATTTTGATATTGTAATTTTACAAACAAAACAAATCAAACATTACATGATGGTATGGTCGCACATAAGCTCTACCTGTATTTCTTCCTATTTACCACAATACTGTATTTCAGTGAGGGGAAAAGACTCTGCAGAATGTATGTGTTGTCTTCGAGAATGCAGGCAAATTTTCCAATTTCTAATATTCTTTCTCAATATACAATTACTATGGGCAAAAATGCATTTTCAATTACCAAAAACATTAAGTCGACTCTTTCGCGCGTTTTTTACTGCAATATGTCACATCTAAATGGAAGCTGGAAAGCCACTGTACATGTAGTAATCTTCGGCAGCATCTGCACAGTTATTTGTACGTATATCTGCTGTTTCTGTTTAACAATGGCCTGTATTCGCAAAAATATCTGTTTGTCACTTCAAATATAGCTCTTCCGTTGTCTTTTTAGCGGCCCCCATTAAGCACGCTTTAAACAAGTATGTAATGGTAAATACCAGGGGAGTATCTATGTTTTTTCCGATTCTCCATTTCATTGAGAGAGAGCAATACAACCCCTCTATGAAGAGGATAATAAAACAAAGAGGAAATGTTAAAGGTGAAATTTTCTATTCAATATATTTTTCTGTTTAGAACACTTATATTCTTAACCAAAGGCAAACATTCACTAACATGTGGCTAACTTAACGGGGAAAAAAAATTATCTGGAAAAAATGGTATAGAAATATGCTAGTTACAATAAATATTAAATGTATGATTACATCTGTAAGCAGACAATCTGTGTGATCCAAGACACTGCTATGTAAGACAGAGTGTCAAAAGATGTTTTTAATTGGTAGTTTTATAAATGGGATTATTGGATTAGGCAGGTTGTCAGAGTACTCAGGGGTCAGATAAAACAAGTAAAATTTCACATGCAGGTATATAAGCCTTTTCCCTGAGATTTCTTTGTATCCCAAAACACAAATTAAGGAACGTACAGCACACTGGGTGATAGTAGTACAAAACATTACAATATGGAACAGAAACACAAAGGCTGTAGAAGACCTTAATTTCGTTAAATACTTTCTGCAGATGAAATCTGCCTCAAGCTCTAACCACAGCGAGTTATCCTGACAACACTAAGTGGCCTAGAGGGGGTAAAACTTTAATATGGTTCCAGACACTTCTCTCCAGCTATATCTAATTACAAGGTCAAGGTCACGCTTCCCAAGGTTATATAACACATCTGCATACTGTCTGGGGATTAATAAGGACTGAAGAGCGTGACCCCAACTTTGTCCTCTGTTACCCTTTCTTCACTGTTTCCCCCTCCCCACATTTGTCCTTCCCCTCCCTTCCTCTTCTTTTCCCTCCCTATCCAATCCCCTCTCTACCTTCATCCCCTCTATCAAACCAGCAGTGATGCTAAAGCTCTAATATTAATATGAATAATTAATTTGACAGATATGTTGCGCCAATATATTCATAAACAGTACAATTTTACACAGCTTTCCATAGTCCTTGAGAGGATCTTGTTGATGCTCCAAAATGATGTTTGTAAGGACATGTCCATTTGACTTGTGTTATGATCCTTAGAATTGAGGCAAAGGGGGGATTTAACTATATATGTAAAGGATCAACTGAAAGCCAGTAATACATTTTTAAAGTCGACCTATGAGCAAATTATTGGTAAATTTCAGTGCATACCAACAGGCAAGTTTGCAAATCAGCAAAAACAGTATTCCCTTGTCCAGCCTCATGAGAAGTTGGTTATCCCTTGTCCAGCCTCATGAGAAGTTGGTTATCCCTTGTCCAGCCTAATTAGAAATGGGTTATCCCTTGTCCAGCCTCACGAGAAGTGGGTTATTCCTTGTCCAGCCTAATTAGAAATGGGTTATCCCTTGTCCAGCCTAACGAGAAATGGGTTATCCCTTGTCCAGCCTAATTAGAAATGGGTTATCCCTTGATCAGTTTCATGAGAAGTGGGGTATTCCTTGTCCAGCCTCATGAGAAATGGGTTATCCCTCATCTAGTCCGAATTATTCTGACCTTTTTCATATCGGTCTGTCGTCGATTAACGTCAAAACTCCGGCCCTCTATAATATGCGGGAAATATGCGACCCGTGCCCGGAGCGCACTTCAAACTGATATTTTAGAAACAAATCGTCACTTTCACACACATGTCGCACATGGATCGAAAGATCTATTCTTTATGTACTAGGTGGTATCAATAACATGTTTCAAAGATCATTACGAAAAGTATTTTCCAACGTTTTCTATACCAACCCATGTTTTTAATGGAAATTAGGCCATGAGCAATGTCACATGACTTGACGAGATCTCGCGTTACAGAAGGTATATCCCAACATTATGACGTAAGCCGGTGAGATTTTAGTCACGTGGCATTAGAAGGCGGGGCTATCAAAAAACTAGAGTAAAACAGAGTAAGTTTGAAAAAATATGTTTTTTGTGATTGTATTGGTTGTTTGAGGCATGTAATTTATGTTCATCTTGTGCATAAAGAATAGATCTTTCGATCCATGTACGACATGTGTGTGAAAGTGACGAT